CAAGTTGGGATCAAAACCCATGAAGCGAAAGCCAGTCGGAAGTGAATGCGATAGGTTTTGATCCGTACCCAGTCGCACCCGTACAACTAGTGAATGGTTGGAGAAGACTCGTTTTGATTTGTGTCTGTGGAGAGTTGGTGCGACTTATTGGAACCCAACCACGACTGGCCAAAGAGCAACATCGGCGGGAATGAACCGCACAAAGTAATAAGATGAGAAATGATGAGAATATATTGAAACGTGGCTCGGGGTGTTTCTTCTATTTTTTGTTGGTCAAAGGCTCCTGAAGTCGGCTCCTGCTTGGCAGATGCATTCAAGAAGACTCAGAGACTTGTTGCTCGACGTGGTTTTTATTGGCTCCTCTTCCCCACGTGGTTTACAAAGGGAGGATCAGGATCCGAAGATTCTGAATTCAGGTGGACCTACTAGTAATGGCCTCCAATCTACTAGCGATGGCCTCCAACCTACTTGGAATTCAGGTGGCCGCAGCGGAAAGCCGCAAGAGATTGTATGCGCGGACATCGGGCACGACAGCCACAGTGGCCTTTTTTTGTCGCCTAGCCTGCAGAGAGCACACAGGGCGGATTAGGGCGGTAAGGTATATAGTAAGGACAGTAAGGAGTGACACGGAATGTGGACTGAAACTGCTTGACATATTGCGCCATGCATACCACAGGATGTAGATAAATATCACGCTGTTCCATCCTCAGGATCACTCACGGTCTAAGCTGACGATTGCCCACGTGGCTGACAGTGCCGCAGGCATCGGCACCAAGAAGGGTTCAACACTTAGTGGCTTGCTCCTTGCTTGCTTGCCACACCACATGTGGCAGAATCAGGAGACAAGTGGCTGAGGAAGGCCCTGACGGCGACCACAAACCCAATGTAAAGGCTGGTTTGGCAGACCTTTTGGGCGTCAGCCGTCAGCCGTCAGCTTCAGTCTTGCCAGGCTGTTCACGTGAAAGAATCGAGAAGACAGGCGCCTTCGGATGGTTCCGACTGGCGATGGTGCCGGACGGACTTCTTTTCACATCGTGGAGATTGACCCCCCTCGCTAATTAACAAGAATCTAACAGGAGCTGTCTTTCTTTCCGAGTTCTGACACGTCAAAGCCCAAAAGAAATAGCCAGGCTGTTCAACCAACAATAGAGTCCAACAAGTTTACGAAGGGGCAAGGCATAACCAAAACAAAACTCAGACACCTTCAATCACCCAAACATCGCCGAATAATGCCCAAATCGCAATCAAACTAAAGACATGCTTTTGTTGAGACAGTACAAACAGCAATTGTCCACCAGACCGTGAGCAGCCAAAATGGGGCAAATATTGTCACAACATCAGCCCAAAAAGACCAAAACCATTGCAACCGAGACCAAGAAAGAACTGAGAAACGACGCTCAACACAACCGACGCCGGCAAAACATGTCGTTTCCACTTCCCACACGTCTCTCGGTCTGCAGGGCTAGCGTTACCTTTGCTGTAGCAGGTTCAGCCACAGCATCGTGACTATTGGTTGTCGCACAGCCTTATTTGTCTCTCCAAACATGGATTCCAACGAGTTCGAACGGATGTTCATTGATTGGTCGGTACTTGACAAAGAGTCAAAGCTCGCTGGCCCTTGGCCAGGTGCAATTTTTCTGGCAGTGAGTGGAAAATAATGGAAAATGCATTTCAAAAGTGTTTCAACAAGTGCTGCTGCAAGGTGCATCAACACCACTGGATCTTCCGTGACGAGTTTCTTCCCTCTGTCACTCATGAGACGTGAGAGGACGTGTATGAGAGGGAGCTTCAGCTTCGAGACGTGGATGTTCCATGCCACACGAGTCCCAGTTCGTGAGCAATGCGAAAAGCTTGGCAGAGTTGGAAAACAGAAATGCATTGTCGGTGTGAGTCAACATCTCCATATCTGGAGTCAAGACATGCAACTGATCTTTGGAATGACATCTTGAAGCTTATCGGGCAGTTTAACGGCTCAACGAAATGTACGAACAGAAGTGGATTACATACATCACTCAGGGTTTAAGACAGGGACATCCCGATTGTATCAACAGAGACACAGCAAGCAGCCACTCAACACGAACATCCTGCTACGATCCTCCACGCTCCAGGTTTCCTTCAACCCCCCCCACCGCGCAGGCGTGGTGGTGGCAGAACATGGCAGAACCGATGGATGAAGCTGATGAAGCTGCAAAATTTGTGACCATCATGCCGGATGGTGGCGGTGCGACTGATCCAATGCCGGGAGTTCCAGATGGTGGCACTGAATTGGATGCCTTGTTGGAGGAAGTAACTCCAAAGCAGCCAAAGCCAAAGTACTCGAAAGCATTGTCCAGTGTTGGCGGCCAGACCCAGAAAATGGTACAGGAAAGGGCCCAAGAACAAATCAACGAGATGCAGCTGTCGTGCAGTGCGTCCGGCATCAACCAGCGGTCTGCCAAAGAGCTGCAGTTGCTCAGAGGGGAGGTGGAGTTCAGTGGATTGGGTACTGGTGGTCACCGTGCTCATTACGTGATTGCTCCTCCAGAGATGGAGAGTGCAGATGAACTCTTGCGCTGGATGTTCGTCCGTCAGGATGGATGGCGCTTGAAGCCTCCAAATCTTTTGCTATCTTGCTATGGCGGAAGGGATCACTATGTGAACTGGGCTAATTCACCAACACTTCGAAACCGAGAGGCCTGGGCCACGGCCACCGGCGCCGTAGAGGATTGGCAGTTCAGACAGAAGTTTACCAGCCGACTGTCAGAGATCTCATCAGGTGTTTGCCAAGCTGTGAGCGAATGTGGGGGATGGTTTGATCTGGGCACAGGACCTAGAGGAGGCTTGAACGAAGTCTTGATGGACGGCTTGAAGGTCTATTGGTCTGCCTTTGGATGCCTGGCAGGACACAAGACCGACAACGTGGTGTTCTGTGTGCGCTTTTTGCAGGACACCGAGTTCAAGGACAGCTTTCTCCAGTGTGCGCAAGCTGTGCCCGCATCCGGTCCTGTTGACAAGAAGGAAGAATTGAAGGAACGAGTGATGTACCCGTCTGTCAACAGCCAATTGTTTCCGGAGCTTGGCTCCGATCCGAAGGCCAATGATCAGGATCTCCGGGGCTTAGATCCAGATGAAGAAGATGCAGGGAAGAGTGCCAAGAGTGTTGCTGACTTGGAGCTCGAAGTACGTGCTCAAATCACGAGACGCTTCCTCTGCAATGCTCTTACTCACATTATTTTTGTTCAGAGTCAGCAAACACTGGACAGACTGAGAATCAAGCTCCGCTCTTTGGCTACACGGGCATCCATTTTTGCCAATGGAAATGAAGCTCTCATTCAACCTGGTGTAGATGGTAAGATCTTGATGGAGGCAGTGACAGGCGTGCCCATCGTGTGTCTTCACAACACAGGAGGTGCGGCTGAAATGTTGGGTGCTGCAGTTCTCCGGAGACGCCAGCCCCAGCATGCTGAACACTCGAAGTTCATGTATGGATATGAGCTGCCGGAAAATGTACCTGATGACCAGTTCTTGATCCTGAATCCAGCAAAGGATTCAGTTGAAAAGGTCATCAACAAGCTGACACTCGTTTTGTCCACGGTCCAAGGGAGTAACTCGTCGAGGCACTTTCTCAGCAGCTTTAGCGCAAATCAACTCTGATGCCACAGGCTCGGATGTCCGGGCTGACTACTTGTCTATGCCGCCAGCTTCGGCCATGACAAAGCTGAAGGCTAACCTCTATGACTGGGACAAGGTGCTTGCCTCCTACCACCAGCGCACTTCCTCCACTTCCTATTTGTGCTGCAAAAGGCTCTGCAATCCCTGCAGACGTCCTTCTGCGAAGGTTCTGGATCTTGAGAACATTGAGGACGGCCCATGGAACCAGGCTGGCAGCGATTTCCACCCAAACCCCTTTGCAATTGATGACGACTATTTGAATGATGATGGAACATCTCTAGTGACGGCCGAGGACTACATCCATTTCCGATTTTTGCCCATGCTTCAGTACTACTCTTGGCGCAGCCGCGACCTTTCAAGGAAAGTGCTGGTTCTTCAAGTCTTGACCTACTTTCTGACCGCAGCAATGGCGGCTGCAACTCCTCTCGGCTACGAAGCTTGGATACCAGTCCTGGTGTCTTTCATCTCCTTTTT